CAGACAAGCAAGATGTTTAAAAACTATTTTGCAAAGCTAAATTTGATGCTAGTACAGGAAAATCTGCATCATTTCAGGGAACAACATAGCAGCTTCTTGTTTGTATAACGCGTTTTGTACACTATCATAATGCTTGTAGGTTGTCAACATCCACACAAACCATCCATTCCTCTACAGATCACAGCACCATCAAAACAATCAAAACGTATTGATGCACAGGCAAAAGAGGGATAAAACAGCATGACTCACTTGTTTTGCGGAAGCGGATTGGTTGATTCACCCCAGACAAACATAGCAGCATTATCATCAGTCTCTGCAATCACATCAGCCCAAATAAGGAATAATCCAGAAAGTAGTGATTTATTAAACCAAAAGCAAAATACAGAACTCAGTTACTGTACATATTAAATTAGGAAAAGTAGCATCGCCACAGTGGATGCACTTAGTAGAAACAATGTATGAACAAACATATTCAAAAATGTTTAGCAATCATTTAACAGGTCACAGACCTGTTTCCCAGTCCTCATTGGGTGCAGGGTTTGTCCAGGTGTTAACAGGAACCTGGAACTTCTCCAATACTTCTACATTTCCTGGACAAAACAGAACTAGATAAAAAGACCTGACAAACATCAAGTGTTAACACTGCAACACAATGGTGACTAAAGTAAACAGTACATCGTAATCTAGGTTAACCTACTAAACCCAGTACATATTTATAATGTATAATTTTATGCATTTAATGTCTGCAATGGTGGTAAAAATTAAACTACAATTGACCATCACAGAATGGTCTCATGTAACCATGCTAACTATTCAAAACGTTTTAGGGACATGAAAGGGTTTATTGAAAAAAAATGTAATCAGAAAGCTGATTTTTTAACACAGAGCGCAACAATAGCACAAACGTGCACCTTTGTAGTAAACATTGAAATATAAGAGGATACAGCCTTAGAATTACACCATGCAAGTAAATGCAGAATCAACATGAACTTTTCTAACCCTTTAAACACTAACCATCTTCAGCGTTCAGACACCTCTTGTCTTCGCAGTTTGCTATGTGATGAGACATCTCATGCTTGGGAATCAAGTGTCTGGCATTAAAGGGGCAGGTCTTCAGTTCACTGGCCAGTTTGGGGTGGTTCTAAAACAGATGCAAGAGGACAGATAAACATTAGAATGTAAGGACAGATAAAACTAGAGCTCAACCTTTGGGTGTGTTAACACTTGTTTTATTTTGGTCAAGACCAGGGATCGGCAACCCGTGATTCTGGAGCTGTATTCGGATCTTTAGCTCCTCTGCTGCCTAGATGAAATTACATGCAAATAGCCTATATAGGCTGTATCTAAATATTAAATTTTCTATTAAGCAATGTGATCTTATCTTGGCATTCCATGTAACAGAAGACTGAAAAGAAACTTTATATTGTTATTAAAAGCCAAAATACAGGTCTATTTCCCACACTGACCCATGAGTCGTTAATATTGTTGGTGGTAATAAAATCTAACATTCAATTGGTTATTAATATTAGAATATTATCTGCGTTCATAAACAGTTCATCACTTTGTTAATCATTCTAAACAATTAACATCAGTGCAAAGGTTTTTCTGCAGAGGATAACTTTTAAAGCCCAATATGAATGAGATCTTGTTACGACTCATATACAGCATACATATTTATACCCACCACTAACAACTTTACACGTAAAGAGATTAACACTGTTGCTTTACAGTTACTTAAAAAAAAATTAAAAATTTGAACGAAAAAAAAACGATTGAAAGTCTTACTGATGTCAGTGAAAACGCTTGTCTGGATGACTCAAATAGACTAACATACCACAAACAAATAACGTTTCCAAGAAGTTCTCATTTAAAGGTCAAATATCTATGGGCAGCTCCGGGCAAATTTTATTTTGGAGAAAGAAAAAAAAAAAAAAAAAAAAAGACTAAAATGGCTCTGCTGGTCAAAAAGGTCGCTGACCCCTGCTCAAGACAATAGTGAAAATGGATCCAAATGTCATTAACGCCAAACCTAAAAACACACACACTTATGGTGTACATCTTTACAGGAGTAACAATACTTAGCTGTACCAAGTTAGAGAATGGGAATCTACACTATGAATACATCATGTTTTCAGAGGCCCAGAAGCACACAATGTACAACAATGCAAATTACCTCAGAAAGAGCAGACCATCTAAGAGTACTAATACCTTTTTAAAACATCTCACAAACACTCAGAATAAAATGTAGATATCTGTATAAACACACTGTGTCTGAGAAGCTTAAAACATGCTCAAGAGGAACTTAGAGCCAAGCACAGATGTAAAGGCCACAGATCAAATTAACAAGCTTAACTGCAAGTGATGGTGCATCAATGAGCTGCCACTAGACAACTTTTCCATATACATGATCCTCTATTAATAGTGCGAGCACTTTATTTAAAGCAAGTCAGTTTGCGTTCATTCATCTCCATCCATCTCTCTTATAAACCTATAGAGATTGAGATCCAAGTTCCAGTGTGCCAAAAAAGCCAGAATGCATTGCACTGCAATGATAGCCATTCTCCATCCATCCATCCATCAATCATATACAACAAACCTGTAGAGATCAATGGGATTCAAGTTCCAGTGTCCCAAAATACACTGTGCTGTAATGACATTCCCATTCTCTACATCCATCCACTGTAAACCTGCTGTACTCAAAGCTAAGCCTAACATGCTGTTTTTCTAAGGTAAGGTTAAGAAAACAAAACAAAACAAAAAAAATCATAATTGGCTTGATCACTCCATCTCCTTTCCACCAATCAGCTGATGTGTGGTGTGCAGTCTGGCGCAATATGGCTGCCGTCACATCATCCAGTTGGATGCTGCACACTGGTGGTGGATGAGGAGATTCCCCACTAATGTGTAAAGCACTTTGAGTGTCCAGAAAAGTGTTATACAAATGTAAGGAATTATTATTATTAATAAAATTAACCCATAATTACCTGTTGTACTCGCCCTCAAACCTATTTAAATTTTCATTTATCTACCAAATACATATTTTGTTGTTTAAACCCAAGATTTATGCGCCTCCGTTTTAACTCCATTATCCTAAATTCTACAATCCACCTTTCTGCACTTGAGAACATGAAAAGGGAAGCGTGAGGCTCTGATCTGGTGGTTTTTGTCATATGGGCACTGCACAATCCTATTAGGGTCGCTGGCATCTTCCGTTTCTTCACCATAACCTGCGGAAACAGGAGGCGCCACATTGGAAACAAAACTTATTGTGCCGACACAAAACTACAACTCAACATGAACTGCATTTTGCACATGTAACTTCAACAGTGCATCGAGTTATGATGATGATTGATTACCGTTGTCTTCATTCCACATCTGCCCTGTACTTTCAGAGTGGACTCCAGACGGACCGACGCTACTGCCAAACCTATAAGTGGCCATACTTCCGTTTCCTGGACCCCCGTGTAGCTTTCCGTGGGTTTAATAAAATCTTCACCCTAAGTAAAGTCCGCCAAACATTATAATCAAAACATTTTCTGGTATAACCTTAGACCAGACAGTACTCTGAAGAAATGCAGCACGTGACGGTCAAACAACGTGAGTCAGCAGGCCGAGCGCAAAAAATGACGGTTGAAGTTGAATAAAACGATGTTTGCTTGACTTTATGTTATAAAACTCACGACTTTCAAAGTAGCAATACGCTCGGGTTTATGTTAAGAACATGACCTTATCATTATAAACACTTACTGCTAGTCTTTTGTATTGTTGAAGCAGTCGCGTGCTGGCCTTCCCATCTGCTGACTGCAATCAATGCAGATCATCAATCAAGTGCTGTGTGCTGCTGTGGAATGTCACGTGTTGCATCATTAAAGATGGCAAATGTTTAAATAAATACTTGTTGTTGCATTATTCATTGTAATCAATTAATTATTCTAAGCTCTTTGTTGTAACTATGTGCTGGTCTATGGGGTTCATAAAGATTAACAAAAGTACATATTATTTTATTCTTTATATGGTTAATATTATTTTTATTTTATTAATTATATTAATATTTGAATAAAAATATATGAATTTTTTTTCTTATCAAACCAATTATATTATTTTAATCAAGCTATTTGCTTGATTTTTCACACACATTAAAGACCAAGAGATTATATTTATTCATTTTATTTATTTAAAATAAATGCTGTTATATTTTAGTCTAATTTATTTATTTATTTGAATAAAACATTTGATCTTTTATTTATTTTAACCAAGCAGAAAAAATGAATGGATTTCTTTAAACCAATTTTATTGATTTTTTATTTTATTTTATAATAATTAATATATTATTTTTATTTAATTAATTATATTAACATTTTGTATTATTTTTTCTTATCAAAGCAATTATATAATTTTAATTTAACTATTTGCATGATTATTCACACACATTAAAGACTAAGAGATTATATTTATTTATTTTATTTATTTAAAATAAATGCTGCTATATTTTAATATTATTTATTTATTTAACTATTTCTTATTTTTTTATTTGAATAAAACTTTGGATCTTTTATTTATTTTTTCTTTATTTATTTTAACCAAGCAGAAGAAAATGGATGGATTTATTTTAATCAATTGTATTGCTTTTTTATTCAATAATTCTAATCATTATTATATTATTTTAAAATGATTGAAATAAAAAATATTCAAAATATTTATTTAATTAATAAAATGTGACACAATATAGCAAATATAAGTTTATAAGTTTATACTAATTTCACAAGGATAAATAAAATTGCATAGAATAATTAGGTTAATTATATTTTACATTTAAATCTGTAAAAGAATAGTCATTAAATGAATAAAGTAATCTGCTTTTAATCTGCAACTCATAACATTTATCAAATATATAAATTTTTGGAGTGTGCTTTTGTCTTTTATGTTCATATCATATAAATATTACGGTATCCAGTCGACCTAAACACAAAATATGCGCGTCGTTTAATTCGTACACGGTAACTTCACCAGCCAATCACACACCCGCACCCGCACTTCATGGTCGTGACGACACGCCCACGCCGAACTGTCAGCTGCTCAGTTCAAGATGGCGCTGTCCTGTCGGGGAATATGCCGCGGGGCTTCAGTGATCTTACTGTATGGAAAACAACCTGTCAGGGTCAAAGCAAGTCTCTGCACTCCTAGATTGGCTTCCTCAAAACCCAGGTATAATTAAAAATACGTTCGGACGATCATGACCGATCATTTGTAGGCGGTTGTTCGCATACCACACTCCCAGAGCTAGGATGTTTTGCATACAGGCTGGATATAAAATGATAGCGAAGATGATGTTTCAACGTAAATAATACAAACGAGACCACATTAATTATTTGATCAATGTCTGTCTTTTTTTAGTCAATGACAGAGGGGAAAATGGTTTCATCAGGAATTACATGAGAGAACGGCAAGATATTTTTATATTTAATTTTATATAACGTAGTTTCTAGATTCATGTTACTAGTACATACTTAAAACTAGTATCTTCCTATGGCAAGCCACTTTGACATTTAATCTATAAACCATACTAGTATCTATTTTCACGTTACTGGTGCTTGTTTTTTAGATATCAGTACATTTTCCATCAAGTACTGTTAGTAGTGCCTATTCTTTAGATGCTAGTGCTTTTTAAAAATATAGTAGTGTTTTCTCATTAGACACTAGTTTTTTTTTTATTAGATACTAGTACTCACTCATTCGTTAGATACTAGTGCCTATTAAATAAATACTTGTGTATTAGATACAAGTACTTACTCATTACAGTCATACGGTCATGGAAAACCTGGAAAAGTCATGGAATTTTGACATGGCATTTTCCAGGCCTGGAAAAGTTTTGGAAAATCAGAAAAACCCACAAAGTTTCGGAAAAGACATGGAAAACGCATATCTGTATACTTGAATATAGGTTTGTTGTCTTTACTACTTTTCTGTCCTTGCCCAATCACATACTCCCACATTATTAGTGCAGTGTAAGCATTATCTAAATCATTTTCACATAGATATAAATATAAGCTGAAACTAAATAGATTGTTGCATGTTTTATGGGTTGCTGTAATAAATTTTAACATGTATTGTTTTTTTATCATGCATATGTAGGCATTGCATGAAACATTAAGTCATAAATATTTACTTGAAAGTCATGGAAAAATCATAGAAAAGTCATGGATTTTTAGTAGTAAAATGTGTATGAACCCTGCCATTAGATACTACACTGCAAAAAAAAGCTTTTTTTACTTAGACCTGTAGTCTTGTTTCTTGTCCGAATATCTAAGAATCCTTATATCAAGAAACATTTTTAGGCAAGCAAAACTTATTGTCTTGTTTTCAGTAATAATATGCCAATTTTAAGTGTGTTTTTCCTAAAACAAGCTAAATAATCTGCCAATAGGGTAAACAAAATAACCTTGTTTTTCCTTTTGACGTAAGATTGTTTTGCTTACTTCACTGGCTGATTACAATTATTAACTAATCTACCAAGCTCTGGTAACAAGTAAGTAGTAGTATTGTTTTAAAAGGGCCTCTGTAAAAAAAAAAACGCACTACCACCTAATAACCTCTTAAAACCAACAAATGAAGTTGTTAAATTAATGTACTATCTTTATATGTTAACAAGAAAAAGATGCTTTTATCTATAAAATATGTATTAGCTTTCATTGTCAATAGCTTCGTGAGCAGTGCGCTGACATTTAGTGCCCTTGCGCTTTGGGTGTCCTGAGTTCAAGTCCCAGCTTGTAGACCTTTTCCAATCCCTTTCCCTGTTTAAACTTTGCTGATCTGTCTCAATATATTATCCTATACTTATAAAGATATAAATGATCTTTATAATAATAATAATAATAATAATAACAATAATTACTAGTAAAAAAAAGCTTGTTAGCTTGTCTCATGAAGTGCGAGAGAGAGGGTGGAACAAAGAGTAGCTCCTCCCCTATATAAAAAAAAAAAAAAAAGCGAATCCGCATGGTAAGTGTTGACGTGTTGGTGACGTATGTAATACTGTTTCCAGGTCCAAGCCGCCATTCATTTGAGTTGAGAAATCATTTGTTTATGATCACTTTTTATTCAAATCACACATTAAAGTTAATTTTATATAAAGTCATAGTGTACACAACAATCTCTGGGCTTGCTGCATCACAAATACCAAAATTTTAACAATTTATAAAAAAATGAATTATTTTCTGGCTATTGGATATTAGGCATGGACATATATATAGCGATCGTGATTTTCGAAAGTATTAAATCGCTTTGTAAACGTTTACTATTACCATTTCACAAGTCTCCCCATTCAGTTGAATAGAGCGCTTGGACCAGGAAGCTGCTTCGCGTGACGTCACACTTAACAAGCGGATAGCATTTCGTTTTTATCACAGGTCTGCCAGTGATAAATGAGAAGTGTCTTGAAGGGGGCGGGGCATGTCAGATACTAGAGAGCATTTGATTGGTCAAGAACTGATGCCTCTACTAAGAGAAATGCTTGTTTTGTTATAAATGTATTTTCCTTGTAAATTCCATATCCACAAATGCAAATTTACTAATACCAAACCATATTTTCCTGTTTTTTTTTTTGCAAGAATTTAGTCATTATATATATTTAATTTCCTAATCTAAAAATAAGAAAGCAAACAGAACTATTTTATTTTGTAATGACTTTAATTTATTTACTGTTATTGATTCTTAAATGTCTTACTCTCAAGTTTATATCATGTTCTTTTTTTCTCTCTCTTTCTCTCTCGTATCTCTTTTTTATTGACAATGTAATTCATATTCTGTATTGTAAACAAATATTGCTACAAACATGTCAACTGATTTTTTGCACACACACAAAAAAAAAAATCATCCATTTAGGCAGAAGTGACAAACTACAAGCTTTACATGTTTATATCAGTTTTATATCTTCTAAATGCTCATTTTGTTTTCACTATTTTGGAGCACACTAGCTTATAGATATCCTTAAAACTAGCAGACTGAAACTAACATATAGTACATGCCCTTCACTGCTCTGCCATCTTGCAGCACCTTTCATTGGTTGATTTCTGTTTTTCTGTCTGTCTTTGCAGCAGTCTGTGGTTTGTCAGACACTACTCGCCTTCACAAGCAAGACACGGGATTGGTCGAAGCATTGTGTCGAGTCTAAAGTGGGCCAATGAGAAGTACGAGAGATTCCTGCAGCGGCGCTTCCCTCGCTTTTTTGTCCTCTATCAGACTTTCATGAGAGGTCAGAATGAGTGAAATGTTAACTTTAATGTTTTTTTCTGAACTACGAACTATCTCAATCGAATGTGCTATGATGTAGGTTTTCTGCTTTTTTGTAAAGGCTTCAGACTCCTGTTTGAAGATGGCAAAGAAGTGCAGAAAATCGTGTTCCGCATGATTAGTGACAAAACAAGCCACGCCAATTTGCCTTACCGGGATATGGAGAAAATCAGACAGGTGAGTTTGAGAAGTCAAGGAGACATTTGTGAGAAGTCTTGTGGTTATATGTCGTATTAATATTATAATATTATATTTATTATTTCTGAAATATGTTACTTTCAGGTCCGCAGGGATTTGATCAAAGCCATTCCCTTGGTCATCCTGTCAATACCTCCATTTGCCAACTATCTGGTCTTTATGCTTATGTGAGTATTTATTATCTTGCTCTGCTGATTATTAGTACTTTTGCATCCTTTAAAATAAATACTGAATATAAGTATTTAAAGTTTCCCTTATTATCTGCCATTCTTCTATTCATTGATTCAATAATCCATCTTAACATTACATTGCTATTATTGTTATTGTTAAAAAAAAATGTATGTATATGTATAAAGTGCTCAGCATATTTATACACACCCCTCACAAATCTATCTTATAAATTCATATTTTTTAATCTGTTTATTAAACTTTTACAGACATAAGAAAGTTATTTTACAGAGAAATTTAAGCAAATATTATTCCCATCCCTACCCTTAACAAGATGCAATTACATTTATCCAAGAGAAAAAAAGAAGGAAAGAAATAAAAAAAATTTTTTAAATTAAATAAAATAAGTAAAAAAATAAAAACCTGTACAGAATACACATGTACCTTGATAACCCATTATTACAAACAATCCTCAGGTATTTATACAATGTACTTAATTACATTTGCTTTGCAATCGAAAGACCCTAAGATTTAGATTTGGAGTTTGTAGAGACACTGGCATGCTCAGAAAAGAAAATTCTAAATGGGTCTCATGTTTCAGAAAAAGCCCTAGTATTGTCGTTTTTTGTAAACCTGATTTTTTCCAAATGGATAAAGCTCATTGCATCTCGCAACCAGTTGTCAAAACTCTGGGGAAATCTTTGTTTTCATAATAAAATAATACACCGTTTTGCTGACAGTGTCAAAAATGCAAATGCGTTTGCGGTACAACTCAATAACCCTGGTATATTTGGAGAAAGTCCAAAAAGTGCAATAAGAGGACACGGTTCGATGTGCATCTTTGTCACAGAAGAGAAATACTTGAAAATTGGTACTAGCCAAAAAGAAGTGATTGATGGACAAAGCCAAAACATATGTATTAAGAATTTATATCTTTAATAGGAAGCTATACAATATTATATTTGTGCATATACATTAGATTAGTCAGTACTGAAGCAAATCTGGAGCTAATCTAACTAAATAACCTACGATAACGGTCCAAAAACTAGAACACCAACTTTATATGTTATAGAAAAATATGAAATACAAATTTTTAAAAAAAAGGAAAAATCAAGAGAAGCAAAAAAAAAAAAAAAACAGAAAGATTTTGTTGAAATTTTGTAGCTTGTAATTTATTTTGCAATATTTTGCTTGAATTTAATAGTATTATCTTTACATTTCTAAAAATGTTTGGTGACTAAAATATTATTTAATAAATATATCTGTTTAATAAATCTGTTTTGTTTAAATGCACCAACATAAACTGCCTATATTAACTGAGAAATGGATACAAATATTAATAAAAAAAAAGTTAGTTTATTTTTATATAATGATAGAATAGTATTGCTGTTACATTATATTATTATTATGAGCTTCAGAATTGTACATTAGAATTGTTGCATTTGAAATATTGTTGTTTTAACAAACATTAAAAAAATTTTAATGGCAATATTTCAAACACTTTATTACTAACCTTTTAGTTAATAAAACAAATATTAAATTCTAGTAATATTTATAAATTATAGATTATATTTATAGAATAAAAAAACTACAATAAATGTTGATATTTTAGTATTATTTTTAATACCTGTTTAATGGTACAATAGCATTAATGAAGTAGTAAATTTGATTTAATTTTATAGTTACAAAATATTATTAATATAAGTTAATTAAGTATTCAGATATTTTTACAGTACAGTAGTGTTCTCGCAATAGTGATATTAACATAAATTACATAATAAAATATAGACCTTTTGGATAATAAATGTTTAGTAATTTAAATGCTTTGTATTACAATGCTTACAGCATAATAAGATATGACAATATTATTATTGCAACATTTATATATTTCTTTATAGGTTGTTGTTTTTTTAAGTATTTTTTATGAATAGTCATTTAATTAATCGTAACCCAGTCATTTACTTCAGTGTTTCTCAACCAAGTTCCTGGAATTCTGCACATTTTCCATGTCTCCATAACCGAACACATCTGAATCAGATCATCAGCTCATTAGCAGAGACTGAAAGACCTGTAATGGGCATGACAGACAAAGGAGAAATCCAAAACTGCCTCCAGGATCGTGGTTGAGACACACTGATTTACTTAATCGCCACTAGTTCCAAACCGGAGTTCTTTTCTTACAAAAGAAGATATTTTGAAGAATGTTAAAAACTGGTAGCCATTGAAATGCTATGCATGTCATTGGTTACCAGTTTCCAGCATTGTTCAAAATAGATTTTGTACAAAAAAAAAACAACAACATAAGGGTTTTGAGCCACTTGAGAGTGAGAAAATGGTCGTTTCATTTTTGGATCAACTATCACTTTAATAATGAAAGCATTCTCTATCCTTCTAGGTACCTTTATCCTCGGCAGCTTCTCATCCGGCACTTCTGGACCCCTCAGCAGCTGGTGGATTTTCAGGTAGCCTATCATAACCAGAGGGCACGTCATCACTGGGCTGTGGTCAAAGGGCTGGAAAGCACATCAAATTCTGTCCAAGACACCCGACTGAAAAGACACCTGCTGGAGCTCTGCAGTAAGGTAATCTGAGCTGAATCTTTATTTACATGCTGACTTTTTAATAAGCACAAATAGTCACAGTTTATATCATTAGGTACAGTTCTCACTATTTATAATCCATCAAGTATGACGTTTGCCTCAAAAAACTCCTAATTTGCTGCTTATTAATAGTTATTTAGGTAGTTGTTGGGTTTAGGAATTAGATTTAGCAGTGTTTCTCAACCACGTTCCTAGAGGACCATCAAAACTACATGTTTTGGATGTCTCCTTTGTCTGTTGCACCCATTACAGCAGGGGTGCTCAACCCTGTTCCTGGAGATCTACCTTCCTGCAGATTTCAGTTGCTACCCATATCAAACACACCTGCCTGTAATTATCAAGTGGTGTTCAGGTCCTAATTAATTGGTTCAGGTGTGTTTGATACGGGTAGCAACTGAAATCTGCAGGAGGGTAGATCTCCAGGAACAGGATTAAGCACCCCTGCATTACAGGGTCTCTGCTAATGAACTGATGATCTGAATTAGGTGTGTATTGTTAGGGCCATGAAAAATGCGCAGACTGGTGGTCCTTCAGGAACGTGGTTGAGAAACACTGTGATAGAGGATTAAGGATGTCACGGTTCCCACGGGTCATGAAATTTCGGGAATATCATGGATATTTAAAAGACCCAGACATTGAGAGTGAGGGAATTTTCATATTTTCAAGTCATGAAATGTCACTCAGACTTTTTTCACTTTAAATTTAATTAAATTTTTTATTTAATTTCTTTAAAATGTAATTTTTATATACTATATTATTTCATAGCATTGTTGTTTTCAGCTATTTTCAGCTTCATTTTTATTCCTTTCATGCTTATCAACTGGTAATCACTTAAGTCAAATGGAATCATGAGACTGTACCTGTTAATTAAGGCTAACATGTCAGGATAATATTCATTTTAAAAGCTTTTGCTTCAAAATGGTCACTTCAAAGACCGAACGTTTAAAAGTAGATGACAGAAAAACGAAATGCACGTTTTATAGCTATTATCAGTTTATGGAGGGGGAACACAACACAGCCTCACATACTATAAGTGTTTCAGATTGTTTTCAAAATCTCAGGTAGATCATCAATTGTTTTCTCATAGTGGCCATTAAAGTCATGAAAAAATGACTTTCCAGTTAAAACCATTTTAATATTATGCAAAGCAAAACAGCAGCCTGTTTTTGTGTTCAATGTGGGTTATGTAAATTTAGCTTTTAGTAAGGGAATTTGATATTTGGCTCAGAGTGGGAACCCTGGAATAAGAAATGATGAGCAACCAGTAGCTTAATAATAGGCAACTAGTTGATTAGTGAGAATTGGTACATGAATGTGTTACAGGACAAATGTATTGCATGTGTGCAGGTGCGAAGCGGAGTCCATCCTGTAGTGTCTGATGTCCATGCTGTGAGAACATTGTTCTCTGGACCACCCTTGGGTATCAAGAAAATGTATGCAAATCAGATGGTGAGCTCCAAAAAAATCGGCTTGTTGCACAATGAATTGCACTTTAGGGCTGCACAATATATTGATGATCGCAATGTGCGCATTTGCAATATTCATATCGCAGGATCTACAATGTGGAGTCAGGATTATAGTTAAGAATTATAGGATTATAGTTTGAATTATTCGCTCTTCTGTTTTTTTTCCAAGAGATGTTTAACAGAGCAAGGAAATTTTCACAGTATTTCCTGTAATATTTTATCTTCTGGAGAAAGTCCTATTTGTTTTTATTTCGGCTAGAAAAAAGCAGTTTTTAATTTTTTCTAAACAATTTAAGGTTAAAATTAATAAATTATTTCCTAATAGAGCCATTTAAATTATATGCTAAAAATATACTCAATATGCATCGCAGTAAAATTTCATTTTTTATTTTCTTATCCTTAAAAAAAACGGACATATCTGGAATCCTCTATTGGAGTTTTTTTAGAATGTATATCGAAAGACTATAGGGTATATGCCGAAGTATGCTAATAGGACTTTTAATTTGCCCGTAACCTGGGTTAAGTGCTTCCAGTGAACTGTATTCTGTAAACGGCTTTTTGTCTCGTTTTACGCTTGAGCAAATAAATGAATGCCCAAGTCTTTAACTGAATGTATTTTAATTATATTACAACATCGACGCTGTAAAAGGAATCGTATAAAATGGAAAAAAACCTCACAATAACAGGAAGTTTATCAGTATGGGAACAACACTTGCTCGGCATATACCCTATATACTGGATTTACTAGCCGATGAATGATTGTATAATAGATGGCTGTATTGTTGTATATGATGACATGAGACACCTATACCACTGTTTTGTCAAATCTTTAAATCCCAAATAAAATAAAAATTCCCAATATTGTGCAGCCCCATTTTTAAAAATGTGTCATACTTAATCTTACTTGACCTCCTCTTGCAGAGACATCTCTGTCCTTTGCTCTTCTTGACTCCTCGTCTCCCGGCCTTCTGGATCAGCGGACGTTTGAACAGTCACGCCTTGGAACTCATGCAGCTCGATCGTGCCATTATTCGATTGGGCTTGCACCAGTTAAACGACTCGGAGCTCAGAGAGGTCAGAGGTCACCCAAGTGTGCAAGTTACCTTCTGCCAGTACCTTAATTAAGCAATTTAATGAATCTTTTCCCCCCAGGCTTGTTTTGTGAGGGGGCTGAATCCAGAGCGTCTGAGTCCCGGACAGTTACGAGAGTGGCTCACACAGTGGTTGCAGTTCTCAGCACACCTCAGAGGTACAGAACAAAACTATGGGCTAGACTTACTAAAAGCTTGTGCAAACTCTACTGTCAGAGTTCAGTTAAGTCTTACACGGACTCTGTTTACATGGACATCAGTATTCTAATAGTTTGCCTTAATCTGAATAAGACAACAATATGACTAAGGTGATTTCATGAGTTGCTTTTTGAATGTTTCTTTTATGATCTGTTTTACTTGTTAACACAATTTGATTAACGTCAGTGTGTCGCCACGCTATGTAATGTTTATTTCGGAGTTCGTGTAATTTCGGGTGTTTCGTTTTTAATTTTTCAACTTCAACTGTAGTTCGGCAGTTTCACCTTTTTATTCAGGAACATTTAATGCATGCACCCCCATGACAAACTGAGATATTTGAATGAGAGTATAAAGTAAGGACTGGTGGAAGAGTGGTGTTTTAATTTAATTTGATACCACACACTGATATTAGGAAAAAAACTTTAGAATTTTGCAATGCGTAGTCATATTAAAATCGGAGTACTGCTGTCCATGTAAACATACTCAGTGAGTACACCAATACTCTGATTTAAATAGGATTAAGACAATACTCTGATTAAGAGTTTACCATGTAAAAGAGCGATATTTGATTACCTTAATCCAGCTAAAGTCATAATCGAACGAAATGGAATTAAGATATGTGGAGTAGAGTGGTGGCGGCGTGGGACAAATTTTTTTATCTGTATAAACACACACACACACACACACAGCACCAAGCAAGTGACACACAGACAGCATCGAATTCTCTCTCTTTCAACACACAAACACACACACACACACACAGCAACAAACAAGCTCAACACAGCATCACGCTCTCTCATTCACACCAATACATACGCTTGCTTGCTCGCCCGGGAGTCTGGAGCGATATTGTTAGACCACCTGCCAGGGGCGCCACTGGGGCCCTCTGACAAGTGATCGCAGATGAAAGTGAAGAGCAGGGGGGATGGGGGGGGGTGTAATGTTGCGGGCCCTTCATAATGTTTCTGGGGGTCCCCTGAATGTATTGTAGTTTTCGCTGTTTTTCGACAGGACCCATTTAAGGCAGTTTTCAGGCATTTGAGGTTGTTGCTAGATCAGATACGGTTGCGGTTGGAAATTAACAATAATTATTTATTCATTTCCCATTAATTGTATTTTTTTGTTGTCTACCCTAAACCTAACCCTCACAGTACTGTTAAACTATTTATCACTATTATACAGTGTCTCAAAAATAATCCTATATTGATAAGCGTTTCCTGTCTAGACTTGACTGGCATTTGATGACAAACAAATAAGAATGGCTTCAAGCAGGAAAGCACACTTTTGGTGCAAGCAAGAAACGATGATTATCTCCCATCCAGTACCTCAGAGTTTTCGTGGGGGCATGAATGAAAAGTTACAGATTGAAACCCAATTGTATTTGTCTGCTGTGGTAGCCTGACAATTTGTATCTACCGTCATCTGTTTGCATGTATAGTGGGAAAAGTTACCTGCTGTTAAATTTGTTGCCAAAAAAAAAAATGCCCAAAATTACATATGGTGCCATCATGACCAACATGAACTGTTGTTGCATGAAATGCCAGGAATAAACTTGCGTTAAATGGTGACGTAATGACGCTAATCGAACTATGTAGCGTTACTCTAACATGTAAAATGCATACATGAAAGAAACATTCAAAGGCATTAAAAGACTTAAAACTCATATAAATATTTTGTACAATCAGAATTTTCAGGAAATCACTTGAACAGTAAATTGACTCGGGTTTCCTTTCAATTGAAGACGTTACTAAATTTAGTAAAAAGTACTAAATTTTCATGCAGTGCACCAGTAAACTCCGGTTAAATAAGGCAAGTAAATTCGATTAATGATGTCCATGTAAACTAGGTCACTTAAGTCCACTTTTTAGACTGCAAATTTATGGGAGGAGAGTCAATTTCACATCATCTGTTTTTTCATAGTATTGCGCTCTTGACTAAATTTGTCATTTAGAAAATAAATCTAGCCCTTTAGCTGTGTTGATTACAAGCCATTATTACCACACTACCACATTTTTAGATTTGAGATTATTTCATGGCAGCATTAATCACTTTATAAAATGATTGTTAGTTCGATAAATGATCTATGTTTTTGCAAAACAAAACTACATACAACAGCAGCATGGTGTGGGTTTTAGATTTCTTTACAAACTCAGAATTGACTTGGTAGTTTAGAATTGACAAAAACCAAAGAAGTGCTGTCAGGCTTTGTTGGTACCGTGATGCTGACAATCAACTCCCTCTGTTAACTCGGGCTTCAATTCAGAGTCCACAAAATGCAATTATAGTTACTGTAGCTTTAGAAAAACTTTCCTACAGTTTACATGGGAGGATTAAAATTTATTTCGATAAATAGGGAAAATTTATGAATTTCTGTGACCCACAATGCTAGCAAACATGTAATGAGACAAAATAATAATTATAAATATCATATTGGCAACCACCTCACTCTCTTTTATTTTATTTATAATTTTTGTATGCATTTTGGTTTGGTGTTTACTAACATCACTTTCATTTATTATTTATTATGCATATAAATTTATATGATGTCATTTATTTATTTTATGTTTTATTGTTAATGCTCTGTATTTGATATTCATCTTTGTTATCTGCAAATAAGAAAGTCAATAAAAGTTCAACTCACACAATGCAATTATGAAAGCATTTAAACCCTGAATGTGCTGGAAAGTTGTTTTACTGTACTCTAACTTAATATTTATAACATTTCAAAAGTTCCAAAGAAGAAGCCGTTGTTTTTCTTTTGAAACTACTAATGCGACTGTTAAAGTGTTGCAAATTCACTGCGGCTTTCTGTTTCCTTCCTGTCTGATCAGAGTCAGAGACTTCGCTCTATCTGCACTGCATGGTTCTGCTCACGGTAAACTACCCTAAACAGCAACGGCACTGACCTCCAGAGGAAGCACACCACTTCTCTTTCCAACACCCGGCGCTGAAACATACACATCCAAAGGCAAAGCACCACGGGAACAAACACAAACTTATATGCAAATCTGACATACATTTTTTGTTGTGTTTCTTTCATAATCAGAGGCATTTTGTACGTTTCTGTGATATTTTTCATGAAACTGTCATGCTTTAAAAATGTTCTTGTGGCAATGAATCTAATTTTGTTTACATGAGGAAAGAAAATATTGGGAGCTCATTGGTATACTGGAACTTGTGGAGTAATTTCATTAGTTCCATAGAGATTGGGTGTGTGGATAGAGAAGTATATTAGAGGTAGTTTATTAAAGTCAAAATTACATCATTTATTCTCCCTCATGTGGATTTAAACCTTTATGAGTTTCTATTTTAAAGAATGCTGTTTGCTCATCAACTTCAATAGCAAATTTTTTTCCTACTATTAAAGTCGATGGGTACCAGCATTCTTCAAAATATCTTCTTTTGTGTTCACAGAAGAAGGAAGCTCAAATAGGTTTTAAAGGAGTGAAAAGTGAATAAATGATGACTGTACCTTTAATACAGTTACACACTGTGAGTAACTACATTCTACAAGATACAACACAGCAAGCATTTTTTTGTTTTTAAAACATGTCTAATAGACGTCTAAACGTAGTCATCTTAGCTAAAACAAGGCTAAATTTGGGCTGTCAGTGAAAAATCTAATAGACATCTAAAGATAGGTCATCAAATAAACAGAAATAAATGACTGCACATATAAAGCCTGTCTAATCTATCTATTTGACAACTAGTCTAGTTTTGGGCTATTCTTAGATGTCTATTAAATTTTCACCCAAGTTTAGCCTTGTTTTAGCCAAGCTGTCTACATTTAGATGTCTATTAGACGTCTATTAAACAAAATTGTTTGGTAAGAAAGCACACTAATTCCACATGGATGTATTTGGCATGTGTTTTGCAAAGTTCACTGCTCTTATCATGAGAGATTTACATTCAGAATATTAATTAATAGTGCTGGGCAAAGATTAATTGCATCCAAAATAAACATTTGTTTTCACATCTTATAAGTGTGTATCATATATATTTATGTGATAGAAACAAAACTTTACAAAACAATTGTGTTGCACAGTTATTTAAATTTTTATATAAATTGTATCATATACACACATCATTTATATACAAATATAAACATTTTCTATGCACGCCACACTTAAATTGTCAAAATAAACTTTTATTTTTAGTTTTATTTTTATTTTGGATGCAGTTAATCACGATTATTATTTTTTTTTGCTTGGAACTAATAATACTAACAATAACTGTTAGATGTAAACAATACTAACTATTTTCATCTGTTTAAAATATGCATTCACATTCAGTACCGTCTATCTCAGGGGTGCCCAAACTCGGTTCTGGAAGGCTGGTGTCCTGCAGACCTTAGCTCCAACTTACCTCAACGCCCCTGCACAGATGTTCCTAGAAAGAGCTTGATTAACTAGCCCAGGTGTGTCTGATTGGGGTTGGAATTAAACTTTGCAGGACACCGGCTCTCCTCGGTCTGGGCACCCCTAATTTAGCTCCTTCATCTTTGGTGTGGTAGTTACAAAAAAAATTGTGGTGTTTAAATTTATTTAGCTAAAAGCAATCCAGTTATGTTTTAAATGGGATGGTATAAATGAAAAGTGGTTTACAGAGCCTTTAAAAAGATTCTGGGGAAAATGTGTATTCTATAATGCAGAATATATCTATATGTATTTTAATTAAGTTTGTTGATATTTATTTTTGAGTTCTCAATGCTGTGCAATAACTATTGCACCTTGTTACTCTTCTATCCTATGAAAAGTTGTTTGCTGTGCACTGGGCTTTTGGTCAAACCATTCAATTCATGCATAGTAGTTTGCAATGTCATCTGTTTGTTCAGCCTACCAATCGGTGCCTTTTTCTTAAGAACACTGATACCAACAAGGTGCAATAAGTGCTGATCTCTTTTATGTTGCCAAATGTGTTTGCATTTTATGTCAAGAGAAAATGTTATTTGGTTCAGAGTCAAAAAGGCATGAAAGTGATGTGAACTTCAATTAAAGAATTCAAACATGGTCTCTTTTTGCTTCCTTGAGGCTCACATTGACTCACCAACAACAGTAGTAGGTGTTTTAAGTGAAATAAAATCAACTTACAAACTAGATTAGAACATTTTATTTTTCCTTTTAAACATTAATGCTCTATACACGTATAAAATTTGGCATATCAGTATTTGATTTGTAGTCCTGTAACCCAAAGGAATGTCAACATGGTGGTAAATATCCAGTTTAAAACAATGCCAAAAGCAACAATACCAAAGCCGAGTAAATCAGTGACTTAACAGTAGACTAATCTACCGGATTAGTCGCAGAAAGTTAAGATGTGGTAGTATTTAATTCTGAGTGAAAATAAGTATAGTCAACTTATACAGCAAGGGGGGAAATAACTGGCATTTATATAATAGGTTTAAAAACACCTGAACAGTCTCTAGGAGCTTTAACTGATGCGATCTGAACGAAGCGCAGTGATTGGATGTGATCACATGACCTCATAGCCGCTGCGGATGGCTCGTGACAAAATGCAGGCCAACACAATGCCTGTAATCTACAAGATAAATAAAAAACAATGTATTGGTTAGAATAAGACAAACATGAAGCTTGCATTACATTTACAGGGTTTCCACTTTAAGCCAAATGTCAAATTACCTGACTTTCACCTCATTTTACTGATTAAAAATCTGAATTTCCTTTATCTATCCAGGTTAATCAAAAAGTAGACTTACCATTACAATAAGCATAACAAAACATGGCAAATAAAATTATATTCATTCTTGAAAATCAAATTTAAATAATTCAAATAAACTAAATTGTTTACTCAAAAAAAAAAAAAAATATATATATATATATATACATATATATATATATATATATATATATATATATATATATAAAACTCCCTGACTTTCACTGTCTGGAAAAAACATTTCCATTATTATTCCATGTTTATGCAGAAATTCCTTGTCCCATGGGAACCCTGCATTAACAAGGCAATCTTGCTGGTCTTACCTGCACAAATCCAATGACCAGAGCTCCCACAGCAATCCACAAAATATTTTCCTTTATGCGTGTCTCCAAAATAGGTTGACAACCCTGTATCAAGCACAAACAAAGACAAAAACTTTATTCTGTCCAATGAGTTATTTAGAGAAAAAAAGAGAGATTTTTTTCAGCTATAAGAACACCTACAGTCTAATTTTTATATAATGAAATACAGATATCATTTTAGTAAAAAATATCAAAGTAAAAAAGAGATATCTCTTAAAGTAAACTCTTAAAACAAGGAAAATCCATTTTAAATCAGTTTCTCAATGAATTCTTTGAGACATTGAACCATGACCCCTAGTTGCATTGATTGGACTTAACCCTACAAATGTTTCATCTTCACAGTCAAACACACTCTTTCCTCAGTCAAACACAATCTTTCTGTTTAATAATTGCTAAAAAGCTTAAAACACTGAACTGGAAAAATCCTTCTCTGCCCAGTTAAGTACATTGGATGCAGTCTATTCAAATAGAAAAAATAGGGATACAGTGTGCGGTTATACTGAATACGTTGACGCTATTTGGCAACATCTTCCTGCTTCCTCTCACATTTTAAAAACAAAAAATGAAATGAATACAAATAAACTATAAAGAAAAGCTATAGCTGACTTATTTTCCCTCGCTAGGTTATAAATGGAGAAAACACAGAAAATATGCATGTTTATATGTTTTTTCTTTTTTTTTCTTCATTTTTTAATTAAATTTTATTTAAATAATTTTTTTTTATTTTATACTGTTGTATCTTTTGCATATTTGTATTTATATATTTTTCTGTATTGCTGTACGGCCTAATATGTGTTAGTTACCTATAATTATATTTTATTTATATTGATTTTATTATATATTTTTTATTTGTGTTTTGCCCTAAACATTGTTTTTGATGCAAGAATATATAACTGTTTGATTCTGAGAGGAAGAAAATGTGAACTCCCTGGGCTCCCCTGAAAGCAAGATTTGTGAAATTTTGGGGGTCTCAAAAAATATTGACAATGTGTTATTTTGACGTGCGGTTTCAGTATTGTGTAATGTGATCATGGATTATTATGTGTAGAAGTGCAAAATTATCATTCATTCATGACTGTGATTTACACCTCACTTAAAAAAAGGTTAACTACACATGCTATTCTTGTCATGAGCATCAAGGTGTGGGGGGCTAAGGAGAAAAGTCCAGTCATGTCAAAGACTGACAGCCAGATGCTTCCATGTGGACATAGAGACACTCCTTAGGCCCAATCCCAATTCTACTCTTAGCCTTTCCCCTTACCCCTACCCCTCGTTTTGCACGTCCACGACAAGAAGTAGGGGTGTCCCAATTCTCTTTAGCATGAAGACGTAGGGCTAAGAGGAAGGGGTGAATAGCCCTTTGAACAAAGATTTTTCAGGACCACATTCGAAACCAAGGGGAAAGAAAATTTCCCAGCATACACCAGCCACAACGACAGAATCACTGCTCCCGGAAGTAAGCAGATCCACAAATTAGTATTTTTTGTCATTATTACGAACTTTTACAACAAACAAGCACTTGTTTTAATATATTCATAATCGTGTTCGTGTTTTACCGTCATGCTTTTAAAAAAAATTATAAAACTACTAAAATAAATATTGCTAAATTTCACAATCTATAATCCCTAATAATAACTCCTGTACAGCAGTCCCACAACATTCTGTCACTCGATGACGCTCGAATACCCTGTCAGAAAAGTTTAGTGTCTGGAAATGTTTTTTTTACAGTGTCTGCTATAATGTTAATGCTGTATGTGTGTGTTTACATAGATGAATATGGCCACTGTGTAAATGCACAGTACAGTTACAATCTTGTTGCCACATTAGATCGTTATGATAACATAATATATGCCTTCGGTGATTTCCTGAAGATAAACACCAAAAAATAGC